TGGCCATTCAACATGAATCACCTCAAGGCTTAATTTCACTTAAATCCGCGCTGTTTTTCCTGATAACTTTGATAAAAAGCTAAGTATGGGGCCTGAATGCTACGTATTATCGAGTTGCTTGAATGAGGGGTTGATAGTCGCACAGCGAGAACGATATTGAACAAAGCGGAAAGGCAGCGGGGCGGAAACCAGGACAAATATCTTGGTACAGTTTTAAACCGTCCTCTTAAAACAACAACGAAAATGACTAATTCAGAATTTTTTTTTGCCGAAAAGGGAGGCCCCCGACCAGTAGATGATATCAAAAAGCCAACAAATAATTAAAAGGTATGAAACTTTTCCACTTTATATTTATTCGTCGACTTCGCTTTTGTAATCTGCATAATTTCCGCGGGAACATTCTTTATGTGTGTACACAAGGATTTCCGAGGAGCAAAAGTTAGACAAGTTCACGAGGCCGAAGGCCGAATCAACTATCACCTCTTGAAAAACTGACTTCCCTCAGTGCATTCAATAAAAGTGGTATTATATTTCAAGTCTTCTCGGGAAATGAAGTATCAAGTAATTTGTCCAAGCTTCCTCCGAAACTTCGTAAAAAGAAAACTTTACCATCTTGAAAAAGACATCCAGCCACTGTGCACTAAGAATTCTACTAGATTGGAAATTCCACAATCTGATTGGCTGAACTATTGTATACTTACAGCCAGTTAGCATCGCCCACAGACCGACAAAGACGTGAACGCACAATTTAATTAATGGCTTGACCATGGCCGTGTGAAGATCTGGTCAAACGTTTGAGTTTTGAACAAAATGATTTTAACTTCGCGTTTTCGTAAAGATTCTAAATGGTATTTTGTATAGACAGGCATGGATATAGAACAGTCAGTAGGTTATTCTCAAGCAATTAGAAGGCTCGCTCCCGGTTCCTATAATAGTGTACTAGTGGAATTCTACGAATAAAACTAATTGATATTACTCGCCACATGGAAGTGCAAATGGACTCAATCGATCATGATCATGTTTTTTTTCACTTGGCTTCAAGTGTAACATAAAATATGAAAGAATGCGTTGTTTTCCCTGAAACTTCAGAACTTTTATAAATGTATAAACAGGCGGTAAGTGAAAGGAAAACCCTTTCATTTTTACCTGTACGTACTTTTCTAGTATTGCGACTTGCAAATCAAGCGCTTTGTTTTATCACGCCCCTTTTGAGGGAGTGATCCTGAACGATCTCATGATGTCAAGATCCACACGTCAGAAATGCAAATAATAAGTCTGGAATAGGTCTATGAGGGGAAGAAGTTCCTGGAACGATAATTGGAGATTTTAAAACATGTGTTACAAGTCTGCATGGTATCAACGCTAATCCCGATAGGGGAGGGGTCTGAGAAAGGGTGCAGGGGGAGGTGACATTGACAGCATCTAAGTGTGTCCAGTCTCCGTCTTGACCAACAGACTAGTGAGTCACTAGCTAGTTTTCAACAGATTACATGAATGTAACAGTTGGTTGTCTGGAAGTTAGCTCTCTTTTGGGTCTGTACATGTCACAACCAGTTGGCAGTGAGTCATAAAAGCTGGAAATATACAAACCAAAATGGACCCTGTTTATCTGACAGACGCTTGCCAGCATGAATTTGTCTACCAACGAGTTTTAGCACTGGAATTCGCGCTCCTCCTATTTTCTTATCTGTCTAAACCACTCGTTTCGTTAAAACAGTTCGGTCATGAATTAAAATTCTGAAAGCATTTTTAAAGGTGTTCTGAAAATAAAAGAGGAGAGGTACTCATTTCATCTTTCTGGATATATAAATAGATAGTCGAAACATGAACTATGAAAATAAGTTCATATTTGTCTGGTATTTGCAAAAGGCAAGAAGTAAACAATGTTTCCATTAGGCAAGCCTCCCTTCTCTTTGCTTTTCCGGTTTTTGTTTTGCTTTAAACTTAGCTTGGAAAAAACCCAAAGAATTCGATCAGTTTTTATCAAGGTCACGCCGCTGACGTTCGCGTTGACCTTTCAGTGTAGCTTGTTCATTCTAGAGCTTGGTTCAAACTTTGCGCAGCATCGATCTCAGACTGAACATTTAAAGTCTGTTTCTGGATTCCATGTGACTCAGTCTAACATCACCTTAAACGAATCACAAAACAAATACCCTTCCCTGGTAGAAAGCGAGCAAGCTTTGATGAGGAAAAATAAACCTGATATATATTGCAAACTGAGATCCATGAACCATTCACTGCGTCCAACAAATTATGCCGAGCTGCTAAATGTCGATTCTTCAAATCGCTCCATAGCGATAAACAATAACGCAATATTCTTTCTTGTCTTATTTTCTGTCATTAACATAGTCATAATTAGCACATTTTACCCACCTTTCTCAGAGCTTTCTTCTAATACAGGCCATATGTATACACATTAGCCTGCAGGGCTCAACTGCTTTCCATGTTTTCGTTGCAGAATGCACAGAGCGATCGTTCCTTACTGCCAAAATGTCAGTCAACAGGTCATCTCTCTTCTGGAATATGTGATGTTATTGTTATGTTATTGTTCAGCTCCCGCCCCTTTGACCCCAGTGAGACCGTAAATTTATGAGGGACCCGACCGGCATCTGCTACAAAGTTCCAACTTGAACGCAACCATTAGACTTCTTTAACACAGCTGCAAATAAATTAACCTCGAGGGATTTCCAAAGATCTGAAATTCTTAATAACTTTTTTTCAGTTTTGAAAATTGTTACAGTTGACAATTNCTTTAACACAGCTGCAAATAAATTAACCTCGAGGGATTTCCAAAGATCTGAAATTCTTAATAACTTTTTTTCAGTTTTGAAAATTGTTACAGTTGACAATTTCGGGAGTTATTCGTGTTTGCAGCGACTCCTCCCTCATTTCTAGAAATATCCCCCAGGAAATGGATGGTCTATCAAATGCGTGCCTGTGGTCTGCATTTTGCTGATAATGATTAAATGAAAACAACTCTCTGAGGTGAAGTCTGTGTTGTCGCTGAGCCTTTTCAGGGCAAGTGTTTGTAAAGTAGTAACTGCTGCGTTGATTTACTTGGACTGGCAGCTGCAACAGACTAATTTGTCGTTTCTACTGGAATTTAAGCCAGATCCATAGCTTCGAGAGTGTTCAAATCATACGAACCATGAAGGCGAAACAATGTCAAACGTTTATCTATTTTATGTTTATCATGGTCAATTACATACACACATTTTTTTAATGAAAAAAAAAAGTTTCTCAAGGGATTTAAATCAACTCTTATCGGGAATGGAAGTGGGTGAGTGTATGTCGGGGAGGGGGTGGTTGGATGGGAAGCCCTGTTATAGATCGTGACCCTGGAGATTTCAGAGCAAAGAGGGCAAGTGTGTGTTGATCATGTGTGCTCATCCCCGCCGCCCCCTCGGCAAAAAGGGACCCTTTTGAAAATAGGCCATTTCCGAGTTGCTTTTTGCCTCTGTTTCAAAACGAGTCCTCGCGCTAAACTTTTCTTATGAAAATGAGTTTGACTTGCATGAAAATGAAACACGAAGACGCGCAT